GGGGAATACAGCCAATATTTTATAATAACTATAAATGGAATATAACCTTTAAAAAATTTGTGACTCACTACCCTGTATACCTGTAACATATAACATTGTACATCAACTATACTTCGATTTTAAAAATATGACATTGTAAAATAAATACATAAATATATTAAAATTGTTTAATTTTTTTTTATTTTTAAAAAAAATTCCGTTCAATTCCATTGAGATTTACTGAGCACCTACCAATCTATGAGGTTGCAGAACTCAGATGGGCCAGCAAGCACACACGCAGGGCTAAGTGTCTCAAGGCTGCAAATCTTAGAAACCTGACATGCCAAGTCTTACAAAACCCCAAATGCCTAAGTGTCATAATTCTACAAACTTTCCTCATTTCCTCATTGATAAGATAATATGTGATTTCAACTGCCGTCCACACAGATAACCCACCACTTCTGGTCTAGAGAGATAAAGTGGTTCCCATAGTCACACCTCAGGCAAGGTTAACTCACAGCCACAGGATCTAGCACTGCTGTCAGGACCACACTGCATCAGCCTCTCCTACATGTTAACAAAGTAGATGCACCAGCTCAAAGATTTCCCTTATTAAATCCCACATAGCATGGCAGAGGCAAGTAGGAAGTACCCCTCTCCCAAATCTACCAGGGAGATCCATGCACAGGTCTGATACAGCTCCTCTCTAATGCTTAGCATTGTGCCCAGTACACTAGTGTTGGCTGGATTAACAAATAAAGCATTGGGACATTAAATCTGATAGAAAGAAAGAAAAGATCATACCTTTCTTATAAGAACATGAACCTTCGGCACCGACACGGGCCATTTCAAGATTATTAGCTCTTGGAGTCACCTGCACTTGAGCTTCCCAAACTTTGGGACCTCATAGAGAAGTCATATCACCCTCCAAAAAAAAAAGTGATAACTATTATGTGATAGCCAAATTTTCATTTTGACAACTAAGGACATGAAAGGAACAACTACAACCTCTTGTCATCATCATTTTTAAAAGAAATTATTTTTTTAACTGAAGTACAGTCAGTTACAATGTGTCAATTCTGGTGTACAGCACAATGTCCCAGTCATGCGTATACACACATATATTGGTTTTCATATTCTTCTTCATTAAAGGTTATTGCAAGATATTGAATATAGTTCCCTGTGCTATACAGAAAAGAAATGATATTTTAACACACACACATAAACAAACAAACAAAAAAAGGTAGGAGAGCTGTGATTTCAGAACTAAAGACCTTGCTTCTCCTGAATGCACTGCTGACATCCTTTGACTTATATTTTCCTAAAGACTAAGGAACACAAAGTAGTGGGTCAACATGGGCCCACAGATCAGGGCAGGAACCATAGACCACATCTTCTCCTCTTCTCCAGTGAACTGACTATATAAACTGTTCTTTGTTATACCCAAGGCCACCATCTAGTTGGAGCCTGGTTCCCTTTAAAATCTACATGGTGGCTCAGTTTCAAGTTGAAATGTGCCTTCTCCCACAGATCCTGGCTTCTCCCTTGACTGTTCTCTCAGGAGGGGAGCACCCGGGCTCCTCCTGAGTTCACCAGGGTTCATGTTGTTCAAGCTAAAACCAGTGCCACAGCTTCCGAAGGTCACAGTCCAATCAGGATCATTTGGATCATTACAACTTCACCATAATTAACCAACCACTTACTATTGGTGCTGTCATTTCAACACAGAGTTGGGTGGAATAAAGTTCAATGTGCTATCTGAACAACAGCAACTGAGTTCCAGTGATGAAAGAAGAGGGCAAAATGCCAATCTTCATACACAGAGTTTATGCGACTGGCCCAACATCAACCGGAAATTTTTGAGTTATTTTCCTAGATAAGAGCTTGCCCCAAGCCATCTGGGGACGCCCTCCTGGCATTGCTGAGATAGGTATTACCATTCCTATTTGATAGACGGGGTAACTGAGCATCAGAAAGTTTCTTCATTCAACAGCCAACAAATCCTTACTAAGTGCTTCCTATGTGCTGGCACCGGGTAAGCTGCTGTGACTTTGACCAAGGTGACACAGCTAGCAAGTAGCATAGACAGCACCCAAACCCAGTCACCTAATCTCAAGTCCATTCCATTCCAGGGCTGCCTCTTAGGCTGAGGTCAGTTTTACTGCACAAGACAGCGGGATCCCAGAACCAAAAGGCCATGCTAGGAAGGACCACATGGTCCCTCTCTTTAGCTTGCTCCTCTGCAAAGAAAGTCAGTAGTGATGATCAAGATTTTCAGACATACACTGTCTCCAGGAATCAATCAAAGTAGTCACAATCATTAGTTGTAGCACTGTCTCTGGTAGGCAGCCCAGAACCGGCTTCTACAGGGTCACTCTCTCAAGCCAGGAAGGAAGAGAGAAGCAGCCTGGTGAAAGCCACATGAAACCCTGTGGGAGAAACTTTTGGCAAAGGAAGCTCTCTAAAGTTCAGAGAATTTCCAAGCAATAGGATCAGAAGCCACAGTGGGATTTTAAAAGTCCTACTCCTTGGACCAAGGACTGAGATAACCAGTGTGACTCTCTTAGGGTTGCCTAAAGAGTCTGAGACCTATTCCTCAAGCACAGCCTTCTGACTACAGCATGTGCTCCGCACCAGAGGTTTTGGAAACGATGTCTGTAATCCACTCTGGCTGGCCATCCCTGCTGGCCAGCCTGCCACACAGTTGCATCAGACAAGGGGCCAGTCACACATGAGGCTGCCCATCTCAAGAATGCCAAAATCTTCATGAATGGGCTATCCTGTGGCTTTAATCACAGGGAGGTGGGGTGACAGCCATAGGTCATGCAACTGAGGTCAAACGTGAGAGGCTGGGCCCAGATCAATAGATGACTCAGCAATTAAGGTATAAAACCTCAGGTGCTCCAGTGCTCCTCACACAGCCAGAATCTCCTCTCCTCATTCAGCCTTCCCAGTGCTTTGGGTAAGTGTGGGTTCTACCGGCTCTCATCTTCCCCACTGGCCTTGCCCAGGCCTGCATGGGCTATGTGGACCAGGGGACAAACAGGCAAGTCTTCGCTCCCCTTTGGGACCTACAGGACCTCTGCCTTTCCAATTGCATTCATGTTTAGAGGGGCTTCAGGCAGGAAAGAAAGCCAAGCTGCTGCTGTGCAGGTGATGTTTCTGATCTTCTGGCCAGAATGTAAACTGCACAAAGACAGACCATTTCCTGTCTCTCTGGCACATCTGTAGGGGCCTGCCTGGTGCTAGGCACAGACGAGCATTCTGCAGAGACTGTCCCAGGCAGCCTGTGCATGGGCTGGATGGATCCTGCGGACCTGTCAGGAGGAGAAGCTGAGTGTACTCTCAGAAAACAGGAAGAATGATTCAGAGACGCAAATGGGAGAGATTTTAGGAGTCACAGGAACCCAATGCCTGTTTTACACAGATGTTCTAAGAAGGAAATGGCTTGTGAGATGCCCAGATGCAATTTCCTGCTAATTATGGCCCCGTCAACCAAGCTTGGACATAAGCAAAGCTGATATCTTCTGGTCAGAGATGCTGGTCTGAAGGCCCACTGGGGTCCTCTCCCGTTTCCAGACAGGACCATGGGGGAGCTGCCTTTTCTGATAATTGGCCCAAAATCATGGCTAAGCTCAGTGGAACAGACCAAGAGTTTGAATTAATTCTATTTTGCAAAGAATGGGGTGCAACAGCCCTGCGACATTCAGACAAACCTCCCTCCGTTGTGCCACGGATGGGTAAAATCCCCCACCCGAGGTGGAGGCTGTGGTAATTTTCTACTTGCACTCAGAGAATCAGTGTCAGGATCAGAGGAGAACTAAGCGGTGAAATGCTTGAACCATCTCATTTCACAGGAAGTGAGGAAACAGGCCAAGTGTGGGTCACTTGCCCCAGGATCACACAATGGAGGCCAGAGAGAGAGAAAGAGAAATGGGCACTGCTAAGTGGGCTATTTGAAGCTTGGTAAAGACTTTAGGAGGGGGAAGACAACTCTTCCCTACGACCTCTAACCCTGGGATTCCTAGCTGAGAGCTTGCCCGGATCCAATCAGAGAGAGCATCAAGCCTGGCCCAGGCAGCGCTGCTCAGAGGATGATGGGCGTTGCCATGGATGCAGCTGCCTCTGCCGCCGCATCTTGCAGCTGGTGATGCTCTCTGTTCTCCTTCCAGGGCTCCCTTCTTCCTTAGACAGGATGTCTCACCAGAAAAAGCAGCCCACCCCCATACCCCCAGTGATCTGCGGGAAGACCTCCGGCGGCGGCGGCGGCGGCGGCGGCGGCGGAGGCTCTGGCGGCAGCGGAGGAGGCTGCAGTTCCGTCTGCGGCGGCTACTCTGGCGGTGGCGGCTCCGGTAGCTACGGCGGCGGCTCCGGCGGAGGCGTCAAGTATTCAGGGGGCGGCGGCGGCGGCTCCCACTGCGGAGGCT